AGCACCTCTCATTCCAATGCTATATAGTATTCTATTCATTTTCATGACGGTACATGTGAGAGATGGGCATGAAGCTGATGTAGCTACCCAAGTGCTATCAAGAGGAAACAACTAGTAGTACTACATGCATCCTGTAATTTGAAATTGGAGAAGTAATCTCCTAATGCAGTATAATCAACTTGTTCAAGTACTGCTAAAAGGATATCTCTGATGATCAAAAGCATCAACGTAAATTACCCTCACCATCTTCGCCAAACGAGACAACCATTAATTTCTCAACATTCACAATCACAAAACTAACACTTATAAAGACACAAGTTAGAAATGGTAATGATTAAAATATATGTTAAAAATATGCAAACCCTTCAATTATTGCATGCACGCACAGTATACCAGTTGTTGGTTAACTTTCTGTTAAAAAGCGTGCTTCGGAGGGCAAGAACAGAAGAGGTAACCCTTTTCAACCCTATATAGCTAGATATATAGAGTATTGAGATGGATCAAAGACAAAAATTTTAGATAAACTAATGTATATGATTTTGACCCACTGATAGAAAATTTCACGAAAATGAAATATAATATTACTTAAAAGTAAGTTTCATGCAATGCTTTGATTATAATTCCTATAAAATTTCTTGGGCAGTTTTGGTACTATATACGTATTAATTAGAGCATTAATATTTATTCCTACTCTGCAAAATCATACAAAATTGTGACAACCATACCACGTTAATTTTAACTTAATCATTAATTAAAGTATATATATACCATAAAAAGTATAATTAATTCTAGAAAATATTCTGCCTAGTTATAAATATTATCACAGTCTACTTATAATGGAACAAAACAAAGAGGCTACAAATTGGGGATATGATAATGTTACTACTTCTATGTTCCAAGCTTATAAACTTAATATTTTGACCTTATAAACAAAAGGCATCTAGTAATTTGTATGCCCAAAGAATTAATTAGAGAGAAACTGTTGTGCTTGTGGAATTCAGAAAGATCAAGGACTAGTGCTGTACATAATTACTTAAAGTTCTTTGACAAAAGAATACTTTAATTAACAAAACAACTGTTCTGAGAATGTGAAGAAAATTCATGAACTGCAACAGAAAATAAGCTCCTAAAGGCTGATTTGGTTATTTGGATGGATCGAATGGAATGCCTATTCCATCAGATCAAAGCATAAAATTAAGGTAAATGAAAGGGAGGTCAGTATGATATAATTCCTTGCTTTGCACGAATTTTCATCTAGTAAGTGAGAGGTACGTAAGATGGAACAGCCTTAAGGGAGGTGTTTGAGTTATTTCAGATTTCTTCATCGTATATGTGAGAAGGAAACTGGTTCCTAATGTCATACTCTCTCATCTCTTCATAATTTACCTTATAAGTTTATGGTTTAACCAATTAATTAAATAGTCATATTCCTCAAACCCAACATGACCTAATTAAGGTCTTAATATTAAATCAGACATGAAGTTAGCACAATTAAACACTTCTGTAAATCATTTAGCACACATGAACATTACTGAGTTTGGGACTCCATATATAAATTTTAGGCTTACTTAATCAGTCTCCTGATTACTTAAACCCACCATATCATTATATGCTTCAACTTAGGAACTCAATGCATCTAGCTAAATACACTATCATAACATCTATTACAAACGACGACAGTAGCTGATCAACAAAAGAAACATTAATTATCTATAACTATGAGCTCTAAGCAGCTAGCAAAAGGGGAATGCTCTAGATGCATGCATCCAGAACTTTATACTGAAAAGGATATAACCATTAAACTTTATCCTATGATGGCATCTATTTGTTTTTCTGGATTGGATGGAATTCAGGAGATCGAGGAGTTCATGACTTAAGTTATCATATAAAGGGTTAAATAAAACAGATGATGTGTATTATAAACATTTAAAAATGTGAGAAGATTGGTAACCAAAGAAAATAGAGAGACAAATAAAACCGACCTTTTAAAAGGCTCTGCAAAAATACCTGCGGGGCGTGCCCAACGAAGCAGCGACCAGAACAACCTACCAAGGTAAAAACAAAAGAGACAAAAAACTTCAATAACATCAGGCAGCAGCTCATGAGTTACTGAAGAGTCAGGGAAGGTTGTTAATTAACTAGACGGCAGAAGAAAGAGAATAAAGATAATTCCATAGCAACCCAATTTCAGTGGCTAACAATGGTATTGGAGAGAAACGTAACAGGCTCTAGAAAAGCAATCAATATCTCTCCCAATATCATCTATGTATCACTATGTTCTATCCCTATAAAAATGTATCATATATTTATACACAAACTCAGCTTGGTCATGCTCATACTCATACTCATTTTCATCCTAATATGCACTTTTTATTGAGTATAGTTTTATGGGTAGTACTGACCCATGAGCCACCCTTTCTGAATTTCTGAATAAATTGAAAATGAGGCATCAGCTTTGTTCTTTGTGGTGGTGGTGGTTGCGGTGCGGTGGCTGACTTGAGAAGCTTTGCATTGACTATTAGGAGGAATTGAGCGAATTGAACTAATAGGATCAGATATCCAAATCTAAGGATGAGGAAGTGTTTCCTTTGCTTGAAGTGAGGAATTCTGACTGAGGAAGTGGGGTGCCATTGTAGAGTCTTAACTGGGGAGAATGGTGGGAAGATGAAGAAAGATGAGGAGGCGCCACTGGCTGTGGTGCCGCTATTGAGGTTGAAGATATTATTTCACAGTCGTCGGATTCCGTGATGGGGCACTCCATGTTGACTCCAAACAGCCTTAATCTCTTGGCTGCCGCCTTCCCTTGTACCACCGGCACCGACTCAAACACAATAGGCTCTACCCCTCCGGCGTGCTGCTGCCACTCCATCCCCATCCTCATCCCCATCCCCATCCCCATATTCATATGATGTGGGGCTGCAGCCGCCCCTGCCGATCTCAAGTAGAACACTGACCCAATTGCCCCTCCGGGATTCCCGTGATTTACCACATTACCACCTACCGCAGCATAACCGCCGTAATAGCTGTTTCTATTGAGAATCGGCGCCGGGCGCGTTAACATTGGACTCCATGGGAGCGACCGTTGAAAATTGAAGTGTTGTTGAGGATGAAACGACGTAAGATCAGGCGCATCGGGCCTCCGCCTCCAATCTATAAACAGACGATCTTTACCCGCCTCACCTACTCCTCGCTGAAACGAGACTATATCACCGGCGTCGAGTTTCTTCTCCTTCACGAAGCGGCTCCAGCCCTTGGTCATCACGTAGCTCTGGCTGCTATTCCAGTAAGAGTACCTGAATTTTTATTTTTATTGTTTTATTTTATTTTTATTTTTTTTTGTTTTCCCGGGAAATAAATTAGCAACTGTAGAGATTTGCAATATTTTGAAATCAGTGGGTATGAAGGAAATTAAAGAATACCTGAATCTCCATGGCTTCCCATTCCGGTCCTCGAAATTCAGCAGAAGACCCTTCTCGTTGGTGGAAGAATCTAAAGGGAAATACTTCTCGGCGTGCTGCTTTGGAATAACGAGCCGATTCAGCTTTCCTACATCGCTGGGAGTCACAACTTTATCGAACATGTGCTCCTTCTCGATGTGTGAACTTGCACTCCTGAGGTCAGGCGCGGATGAATCTGAGTCTCCGCGTCTTGACTCCTCGTTGTTCGCGGTGGTGGCAGTAGCGGCTCCGTCGTTGTCATCATCCGGACCGTACTTGCTGCCCAACCAGTTGGAACCCATCTGCGGCGGCGGCGGCGGCTGTTGATCCCATCGGAGAGGAATCAGCTGGGTTTTGTACTGATGAGAAGACGATGAAGAAGAATTCGAAAAAGGAATTAACTTTCCTTTCCCCATTTGCTCATCTTCACTAAACCCTTCTCTTCCAAACCCCAAATCCATGACCAATAGTTGCCCTTTTTCTACTAGATCTAGCTGATAAAATTAAGATGAACAATAAAAAAAAAAAAAAAAATGAAGATCAACTCTATCTGAAAGCAAATATACAAAAGAGAATTGGGTTAGCTCTCATTGGAATGAGCTATCTTCTTTGACCAGAATATGAAAACTAGACTTGGACTAATAAAGCTCCCCATGTTGGTTTAACAGCAGTGCAAGTTCCTCTACTTGTTGACCTAGAAAGGAGAGAACGAAAGGGAAAGAAAAAAAGAAAAGAAAAGAAAGAATGAAAGAAAGAAAGGAGGTTTTCTCTCTTGAATGAGGTAGTTCCAGTTCCTCCCTGGAACCTTCTCCAGTTAGGCGATTTTTGTCCTGAACAAATTCTTTCTCTCTCTCAAGGGATAGAGATAGAGAGAAAAAGAAAAGAATATTAAGTGAAAGTTTATACGTAGGGACCCCATGTATTATCTGGTTGGGCTCATGTGAGAGCTTGTCATTGTCTTCATCCTGGTTGGGCTTACTTTATTATTTTTTAATTTATTTTTTTCTGAGATTTAATTAATACAGGCCAGCTGTTTTTGAGAGCACGAGCTAATTTTGGTACCAATTTTTTATTTTTTTTTTTGTTACTATATTTTTTTAATAATAATAGTAGTACTTAATTAGCCAATGGTATTGTGAATTTTGTAATTACCTTTTTGTCTTGATATGGGGTTTTTCGTAATTGAAAATTTTGCCCCCCCTTTTTTTTTAATTCATTGGTTCGTTTGACGCTACAGTGCATAATTACATAAACAAACAAAAAAGGAAATGTAGCACAGTAGCAGTAACAACTTGGAGGGTTAGGGTTTTTGAGTTGGCTTTTCCATTAACCAGTGCGGACCACGCTGCTGTCTGTGGAGGCCAACAAGATGAAAGGTATGTCCACTGCCTGACCTGACTGCTGTGGCAGCGAAGGGATGGTTACAATTAGAACTCGGTGTGTACACAAGGGAAAAAGCTGAGTATTTCCTTTTTATTCAGAGCTATCTTAAATGCAGGTTTTGTAGAAGTGTCGTCGAATTAACAGATATAATTTTGCAGGATAATAATTTAGTTGGGCGTACTAATATATTTTAACGTTTCAATTTAGAAGTTAATGGTTGATGATAATATTGATACATATCTAAATGAATTTTTAGCCACCCCGTTCCTTTTCTCACCATGATTTTTTTTTTTCTCTTTCTCTTGTTTTCTTCTGCCTCCTAACTGCCATTATCTCACTTCACTTCAGTGGTTAGGGTGGATGGCCAAAAATAAAAAGTTCTCGTTTAATGTGAGGTTTTTCTTTCTCTTATGGAGACTTCTCTCTTTTTTAAGGGATTTTGCCTTGATTTTCTTAATATTTTTTTTATTTAGATTCACTCTTAGACAACTTGAATATGATATTAGTTAGACTCAAAATCAATTATTGTGCTTGTTTTAGCTATTCAATGCATAGTTGGGGATAGAGTCCCTATCTAAAATTTTTTACCCCAACTAATTTATTTTTTGTCTAGATGGGTTATGTTGGAATGTTGCTTAACTACTTAATCTTGAGTTGAGGTCTAACTATGATATTCGTGTATGTATTAGATTATTTAATTTTACATTTTTACACTTTTTATGAGGATAATCACAACTAGTTCGCACAAGTCAAATACATATATTGACATGGCCAATTTTTAAGCCTCTTCACACATTTTATAAGTATAATACCTCTAGTGTATTAATTATCCTATTCATACTAGTCTTGTAATCCTTATGGCTTTCATATATCAATGAAATTATGTTTACTATTAAAAAAGTGAATTTTAACTTGTATTCTAGCATAAACATATATATTAATCTTTAATCTCATTTTAGTGTTAACAAATTTGAATTTCTGTATTAAAAATATCAAATTCAAATCCTGAAATAAGTGAGAAGAAATTTGGAAAGAAATGAAGTTATCTTATTGTATAATACATTATTTGGTGCACCAAATATCTATATAAATCTTTATGATCAATGCCAGTAGCTCAAGTTGATACAATGGCAAGTAGCGAACCCCTGCTATATATATATATGTAAAAGTAGAAATCTCTTGCTTATAATATCTATGATTTTTTTTTTTAATTTTGACTTTAGAATCAAATTAATTGGAGAAAATTAGTTAAATATAAAAATTGAAGACCACGTCGAACAATTTTGTCATTATATCTCCACAATTTTCATATGGTATTTTGGATTATATACGTGGAATTGGGACCTCTAATTTAGTCCAACCTCTGTTGGAATTTTGTGTAGCCTGAGTGGAAACTTATAAGAAAGGCTTTCATTTCGCACCACTCCATTTCCTTTTGGACACACCATAGGCATGCGCAACTTTAATTTAGTCCACCTTAAAATTCTCCAGTTAAATTATAATACAGTACTAATAATATGATTCTTTTGAAGAACAAAAATTACCATAATTTTCTAAGAATAGGTTTTTCATTTGAAAATTAATTTATTATTTACTAAAGATTCAGATAATTAATTTAATTATTACAACTTTTTATATAAAAACAATAATTATATTTAATAAATGCAAATAAATTTCAATTATTAAGGAAGAATATATGTTTAAAATTTTATATAAATGTAATGTGTAAAACTTGTGTATAAGTGGATATCTAGTATATCTATATATATATATATAAATTAACCAAGGTTCAAACAAATTTCAGCCTCTGTTGTGGACTTGTGGGTAGGTTTAGTCTAATTTATACTAATTCAAAAAAGACCAATGATATAATAATAAGGGAAAGGGAAAAATTAGGATATTTTTGCATTAAAAATGTCAAAATGTTTAATAATAGTCACATAATAAATTTGATAAAATTAAACTTCACATTATATCCTGTATATTTAATGATTGTGATTGGATATTTGAATATTTTTAATGTCATAACATCCTAATTAATTATCCCTTTTCTCTAATTATAATACTATATAAGGTTATATACACCCATCTTCTATAGATGAGTAGTCATTCAAAAATTATCTTGCAATCAATATAAGGTTATATACATATAATATTGATATTTCATTAAATGAATGAATATGTATAGGATAAAAAAAAAAAATCAGTTCTATAATATCACATAAAGACCAAGTGTAAATTTTATTTCTGTTGATGGGATGAACCCATTTTATGATGGTCCCACTGCATTCATGGTTAATATGTATCACAGTTTTCTAAAATATATATATATATATATATATATGAGGTTAAAGCAAAATAATTAAGAAAATTAAATTGAATAGAGTATGGTTTTTCTCTATATATAGAGTTGAAGAAATTCAATTTTGTTTTACAACGAAATGATATTAGGAAAATAAAACAAACTTTTGAATTTCCTCAAAATATCTCAAAGGGCAAGAGGAAGAGACTATTTTTTTTGGCGAACAGAAGAAGAATAGACTGAACCTAGGGAGAATTTATTGAAATTGCCACATCATCAACACGTTGAATTCCACGTGGTGATTGGATTCTAGAAATATCTTCATCTTAGCCCCCACACCACCTAGCTCCAATCACCTTATCTCAACTTCAATTTCCCCATACATCATCTCATCCTCCTATCCAAAAAAGACCTTGCAATTTCCTAAAAATCACTTCTCACAACAAAAGGAAAAAACAAATATAATCAATTCTCTCTTCGGTCCTTCACTATCTATCCATCAATAGAACGAGAGTACTAATTTTTTCTTTTACACCGTACGTCCTAGCTGTTTCAAACTTTTAGCTTGAACTGTTTTATGGGTACATGCAGACCGGTTAATTTATCTATAAATACTTGACAAATCTTACTAATAGTGACCAGCAAGATTTATTAAAATGATTTACGTCTAAGATAATATTAGAAGAATTCAAATTAGTGATAAGAATTAATTGTACAACAATTCCCTAAACTTGACCTCAAAGATAAAAAATTTTAAAACTTGGTTAAAGAGAAATTCTTAGTAGTGGGAAAAACCAGAAAATTGAAAATGGTACTACTAATAATTGAGCATAAAGGAGGGGTACGGTCACGCACTGACACAAATTTGTTAATCACACCATACAACATTTATAAAGCCATATAGAATTATGGGGTTTCAATTTTGATTTTTTTTTTAAATTAAAGTTTTAATTTTAAATTATTTTATTTTATTTTATTAAAATTTAATTAAAAATTTAAAAATTTATTTTATTAAAAATTGATATTTAGATTTAAAAATTAATTGGAGTTTTTAATTTAAAATTGAAACTTTAATTTCTAAATATAAATTAAAATTTTAATTTTTTTAAAAATCGAGACTGATACACACTAACCTCTAGAATTTTAAGGTATAATTAAAATTTAGTATTAAATAAATATATATAATATTAAAATTTTCTAACATGTGTTCTTAAGACACAAGTTAATAGTATTTTTTTTTATAACAAACGTGTATAGAAAAATATAAAAATTGATATTGATTTTAATATCAGATGAATTTAATTGAACAGTTGATAAATTAAATATTAATTTTTATTTTTAATATAAATTTATGACGAAAATGTGTATTTAATGTACATATACTTGAATGGCATAAGTTAGACAAACTCTATAATATTATAAGTAAAATTTTAAATAAAAAATTAATTATATAATAATATATTATATTATAAATTTATAATACCACATAGTATTGTAATTATAATATTTTTGATTTGTTAATATTGTCTTCAAAAATATTAAGTAAATTTAATTTGACAATTAAAAATAATTGATAATTAATAAAATAATTAATATTCATTAAAATTAATTTATAAACTAACATTTATAAATATCATAATTAATTAATTTTGAAAAATTATAATATATAAAAATATTAATCAAATTAAACATAAACACTATAATTTACATCGACAAATTTTTATGGAGCTATAACTACTCATAAAGAAGGCCAATAAATCCATAACTCTCACATTAAAAGTCTCTGAGTCGACAGTTTCTTGATGACTGTCGTCATTCAAGTCTAAAGGAATGCTAGAATAAAATAAAATGTGGAGAGGGTGTGCTGTCCTAATTGTTCAGGTTCAGGTTCAGGTTTCTGTTCTGAAACAGAATTACACCATATTATTAATGATGTCCATCTACCGCCCAAGCACTTTAAACCCACAATGTGTTCAGAAACTAGAAACAATGGAGTCCCTGAAATTGCAGGATAATTCGTTGCGGGTTAGTAAAGTGGCAACAGATGACTTGAACTACCCTCGAAACACGAGTTAAAGTATCCCTTTGTCGCTATT